ATGCTCCTCAAAGCAAAACACGTGGGACTCCATTTGTTGTACCCTGCCCCCCCATTGTGCAGTAATTTATTCCTGTGCAAAATGGGTATAAAACACTGCCTGATCAGAAAGGGCCAGGACAGTCGTGATTCTGACCTCTGGCTTTGTGTTTATTAAAATACAGGATTTTTTTAAATTTTTTTTTAAAATTTTTTTTAATAACTACATTAGGGCAGCACAGGACTCTTTGAATCTTTGCTTCTTGTCTTTCATAAGGCATGCAAGCAAGCAAAACACACAATGAATAGTTAAGACTTAATGAATTACAAAAGATGTAAGGTGGTGGCACAAAGGATTATCAAAAAGACAAAAAAAGAAAGTTGGAGAAATTTCTGTGGGAAATGGAACAAAGATGCAAAACTTTCCAAAATTCTATGAATGAATGGGATTCGATGTAAAAGTAAATGTATACTTGGTCTTATCGTAAACAATGAAACTGAGGTGTCCAGCCTAGGAAAGGCAGACATTTTAGCAAAAGAATTCCAAAAGGTCAGTAGCGATATGAATCAAAGCAATAAGTTTCATGAGGAAAACTGTGAACTATTAAATGGCTGGAGAGAATATACTGATGATGTGTTAAACAAAAATTTTAGTATGAAGTATTGCAGCAATTAGAAAAAGGAAAAAATACAGCTCCCAGTAAAGATAATATAAAGTAATGAAATGCTCCAACACTTGTCAGAAGGGGGCCAAAGATTCTACTGCATTCTATAATAATATATGGGAAAAGGATTGCTGCCAATAGAATGGAAACAAGCAATGGTAATACCAATTCGGAAGCCAGGCGAGGTCCATTCAAGACCTGATGCTTATAGGCCTATTGCCCTCACAACATGTGTGGGGAAAATCATGGGAAAAAAGTGATACATGTAAGATGAGTGATATATTTGGAGAAAAATGATATTATAACTGAGGTACAAAGAAAAGTAAAGGAAGATGTGCAGTTGACCATATAATAAGATTAGAAATGAAGGACAAAATAAGCATAAGGACTAAGAACTTTATGCTAACAGTCTTCCTGGACACTGAAAAAGCATCTGACATGCTATGGATAAAAGGCCTCCTATAAACTAGCCAAAACTGAAATAAAGAGAACATTTTTGGTGGATACGGGCCTTTTTAAGAGACAGAACTATACAAGTCAAAGTGGGGACAGCTTTATAAAAAAGCTACAAGCTTACAAATGAAACTCTACAAGGGAGTATTATTAGCTCTACTTTGTTTTTCATTGTGATAAATGACCTCCCAGAAAGCATGCAGTCGGAAATAGGTACTTCCCTTTTTGCAGATGTCTATGTTATAAGAACTAAGCATAAAAGACAAAGTAGCTAAGGAAAAGACAAATGAGGAACTTCAGCAGAATGATAGGGGATGTAAATTCACTTGCAAAAACAAAGGGAACACTTTTAACCAGGAAGAAAATTAGTGAACACTGGAACTTATTTCTTTATGGTGAAAAAATTCATATAGTTCAAAAGTTTGTTTCTGGGAATAGAGTTTAATAATAAATTAAGTTGGAAAGGTCACATAGATAATATCATACAAAAGTGTACAAGTAGGATGAACTTACTTAAAAGTGTAGCTGGAAACAAAAAGGGTGCAGATAAGATGGTATTGATGATGATGTATACAGCAAGACCAGTTTTAGACTACAAATGCCAACCTTTTGGTTCAGCCTCAAAAACAACTCTTAGAAACTTGGAACTGCTCCGGGTCCAAGCTCTGTGATTGGCATGTTGTCCAATGAGACCACCACCACTGCAGATACCCACGGAGAAGCACCTATAAATCTAAGGATGGAACTATTAGCTCTAAGCTTTTGGGCAAAGGTAAAAGGGAACCATGAAAACAGAAGTTCACAACAGATTTATGAAAATTACTGGGAGCTTAGTAGACAAAATTATATGGATTGCCACCGATTTCCTCAGAATATCAGGAGATACGTAAAAAAATAAAAATTGAGAGAACTAAAAATTTGTAGTGATGGGAAATCAAATTACAGCTGGAAAGTTATTCCCCCATTAGTGGTTTTGGAATTGTATGAAAAAACTGAGAGAAGAAGAATCCTCACACATTATGGCCAATGAAATTTCTGAATTTATTGATGAAAAATGGGGCCAGCTTTGCCAAGTCCATACAGATGGATCAAAAGATGATAGAATAGAGAGTGGGAACAGCCTTCTATGTTCCCAGTCTTGGAATCCAGAAATCTAGAAGGCTATCAAATTATGTGACAGTTCTGATGGCTGAAGTAATGGGAATAATGTTGGCACTAATCTGCAACCAGCTGCAGGTTTAATTTTATCTTATTCCTTGTCAGGCATTATGACAATCAAAACAGGGACTTTGGAGAGTGGACATGACATAATAAGTGACATAATATTCCTAACATCAGAAATAATGCAAGGAGGTATCTGTGTAACAATGGTGTAAGGGGACTGTTGCCCCCTCACTAACAGTCAGTGGGGGTGTTTTAGTTGCTAGCTCCCAGTACTCAAAGGGGGAAGGGTCAATGGGGAATCAGGACCCTGAGACCGCCAGTCCCTAGGAGCAATGGGGAGAGGCCAATACTCCAGGTCAGCCTGAATGACAGGGCGGGCAGGCTAATCAGGAAGTCAGGAGGCCAGGGAGGTCCCGACCTCTGTGTGAGCTGGAATTGCCTGGGTCAGACAGAGTGGGGCTGAGCTAAGGAGAAAGCAGGGGCCCGAGCTGAGCTGGGGAGCAGAGCTGGGCCAGATCCAGAGAGAGCAGACCCTGTCCTGGGAGCAGAGCTGTAGCAACCGGAGGCAGAGGGGCCAAAGAAGCAGCCCAGGAAGTTGGAGGCAGAGCAGCAGCAGCAGCACTGCTGAGACAGAGTGGTGGAGCTGGGGCTGGAGCAGTCCGGAGCTGGGTGCAGTGAGCAGCTGGGAAGAGCGAGGGGGACCCTGGGCAGCGGGCCCAGCACAGGGAGACACCTCAGCCAAGAGGCTCTGCAGGCCAGGCTTGGATCGTGACCCTGCCTCCAGGGGGCGACACTGGGAAGAAGGGTCCTACCACTTGGAGCCTGGGAGCGTGTAGCCACCACCAGAGCAAGTGTCCAACCCGCAGCATCCCTGCAGCACACCCAGGGCCTGAGAAGAAGGCCTGGGACTTACAAGGAACAGACTCTGAACTGCCCTGACATTCCAGAGACACTGTTTGTGATGTTCCCTGCCACAGAGCGGGTTGATGTGTTTAATTTTTCCCATTTTTCCTTATTCTTTTTAAAATTAATTGTTGATTAAATAACTTGCATTTGCTTTAAATTGTATGTAATGATCAGTGGGTCAGAGAAGTGCCCAGTGCAGAGAGAGTACCCCGGAGTGGGGACGCGCTAGCCCCTGTCCTAGGTGACCACAGCAGGGTCGGGGGTTAAGCCCCCCAGGAATCCTGGGCCCAGCCTTGTTGGGGTTACGAGGACTCTGTCAGACAGGAGAGTGGAAGGGGAGTCCTCAAGGGCAGGGAGGCCACTGGGTAAAGGAAGTGGGAGTCAGGACTCAGATCCTTTCACTAGCCCACTTCACTCGGGTAGTGCAGAAGCCAGGAAAGTTCCCCACAATAGCGGGACTATTCCTCTGCTTACAAATGCATGGATTCTGGCACATATTGGAATATCTGGATTTGAGAGGGCTGACAGAGCTTGAAAAATGAGGAGGTGGATATTAAGATACCATTAAGTAGACAAGAATGTACAAGAATGGTCATGAAGGAGCTTGCAAAGGAATGGCAAGACCTATGGACTAAGGAAACAAAAGGATGAAGAATGATGTATGCTCAAAAATCAAAGATAATATTATACTCCACATTCATCACAGAAAAAGCAAAGTAGTCATTTTTAGAGTGTTAGTCTTAGATGATACATTAAACTTATTAAAAAGATATAAAGCTGGGTTAGGTAAAGCATGCAAAACCAATGAAAATGTTGATCATCTTCTATGGCATTGTGGACAATATTCTATGGAAAGAAAGGTTCTTTTTAAAAAAAGAGCTGGCTTGGAATCAAATATTTTTCTCAAAAGGGAGAATGTCAGGGAAATGGAACAATAAACAAAAAAGCAGCCTTGCTGTGTTTCCTTAAGGATATTAGACAGAGCGAAAGGATATTTTTTTAAAAAATGGCTAAAAATTAATAAAGAAAAATGGCGGTCATAGCCTCACATGATGAGGCTGCTGTGCCAAAACACAAGACAAAGACAAAGTTAGGGGCTGGCTGTGGAGGAGAGCAGTTGAGCTGGGTTGTGGCTGGAGAGCTGAGCCCCAAGAGTGGTACTAACTCCTGTGTGGAGCCTCTGGAATGAGGCTCCAGGGAGGCAGTCCTGGGGCTGGTGCTCTATCATAGAAACTGGGAGCTGAAGAGGAGCCCAAGAAGGATGGGAAGCCTGGGGAGTTTAATTTTGTTTGTAGTTCTGAGCTCTACTGAAGGGCCCAGGGATAAGTCCTGGGATCTGCTCTTCTGCAAAAGAAGAGTGATTCTGTTAAGTTCTGTTTGATTTTAGAAGGACTTCACTGTGGACCCAATGGGAGACGGGTAAAGGGACTTTGAAGAGGTCAATTGGAAGAAGCCAGCTTACAGCAGGACTTAGATACCCTGGAAGGTGACTGAACTTTAAGTGTGCGGATGGTCTGCAGAACCAGGTTGGCCGACAAATGGGGCACTAGAGTGAGAAGAGTCTCTACAATGCTGCCTGCATCCTAACCCAAGGGGGAGCTCTGGTGGCAATGCTGTTTCACTGAAGCTGAAACATTTTGCATGCACACATCTGGTTCAATGAAGTTTTGTTGGGAAGATATTTTGAGAGAGATGCACACAACCTCTCTGGCACTCTTCAGCCTGGAAGCTAGGGCACCGGCCTAGGATGTGGTAGACCCCGCTTTAAGTCCTGGCTCTGCCTGGTTAAGAGTGAACTACAATTAAAAATTCTCATCTGAATGAGACAGAGTACCTTGAATTTGGTTCTCCTGCATCCCAGCCAATGTCCTGTCCTCCAGGACACATGAACAGACACTTGGGGAGCTCAGGTTTCAATCCTAGATAGGTAGAGAGAGACAGAGATACACAATTCTGTTTTCACAAAAACCTTTGAAATGTTTTGTCTCTGTGAAACAAAAACAAATTTTAAAACCTTTCAAGTTGCTGTGGAACAGAATTGTCCTCCAGTCAGCTCTACCTGAGAATACTGACAAGACACAGTGAATAGCTTTTTCTGGCCTAACCCTCTGGTCTCTTAGCTCCTTTTTTCTCTTCCAAGCAAGTGGAATCAGACTGACATATGTATGATTTGTTCTTTGTTCCAGCAGGCTCTGGCAACAATAAATTAGTAGCATAAACTGCCCACGCAGGATGTTTGTCTCTTTCCTTACTAATTTGCTCTGGCCAACACTTTTAAAAGCAGTAATGGATTGCAAAGGCAGCCAAGAGGACATCAGTCTCTGCAACACCAAGTCTAAAGGTAACAATTTTTGGGGGGAGTAAACTAAGAAGAAATGAGGGGAAGAGCGAGAGTGAAATCTGAAGGGGACTCCTTACAAAACTGTGTTCACTTTGAAATATGATTATAGTTTGAACATGATAAAAGGTTACTGTGGGTGTGTCATAAATATAAAGGGAAGGGTAAACACCTTTAAAATCCCTCCTGGCCAGAGGAAAAAACCCTTTCACCTATAAAGGGTTAAGAAGCTAAGATAACCTCGCTGGCACCTGACCAAAATGACCAATGAGGAGACAAGATACTTTCAAAGCTGAAGGGGGGGAGAAACAAAGGCTCTCTCTGTCTGTGTGATGCTTTTGCCGGGAACAGAAAAGGAATGGAGTCTTAGAACTTAGTAAGTAATCTAGCTAGATATGCATTAGATTCTGTTTTGTTTAAATGGCTGATAAAATAAGCTGCGCTGAATGGCATGTATATTCCTGTTTTTGTGTCTTTTTGTAACTTAAGGTTTTGCCTAGAGCGATTCTCTATGTTTTGAATCTGATTACCCTGTAAGGTATTTACCATCCTGATTTTACAGAGGTGATTCTTTTACTTTTTTTCTTCAATTAAAATTCTTCTTTTAAGAACCTGATTGCTTTTTCATTGTGCTTAAGATCCAAGGGTTTGGGTCTGGGTTCACCTATGCAAATTGGTGAGGATTTTTATCAAGCCTTCCCCAGGAAAGGGGGTGTAGGGATTGGGGTGATTTGGGGGGAAAGACATTTCCAAGTGGGCTCTTTCCCAGTTATATTTTGTTTGACGCTTGGTGGTGGCAGCAATAAAGTCCAGGGACAAAAGGTAAAATAGTTTGTACCTTGGGGAAGTTTTAACCTAAGCTGGTAAAAATAAACTTAGGGGGTTTTCATGCAGGTCCCCACATTTGTACCCTAGAGTTCAGAGTGGGGAAGGAACCTTGACAGGGTGGTTCCATAGTTCTTCTTGCCATTATATGAGCTCAAACTTGCTCTATTAACTAAACAGAGCAATGATTCCCCCACCACCCAGGTCCCAAATGGCCTGTGCTGCAAACAGCCTGAGATTTAGAAAAAAATATAGCAGAAAAAAACCATTTCTGCCTGTCCCACCACCAGCAGCAATACAGATTCTGCAATCAGGACTTAGCTGACACTTCTCTTGATGATAGAAGAAGCGAAACAGAATCCTGCTCCCTCTGCAGGACTCATGGCAGTGCAAACTGTTTGTGACAATTGAGTTAGTAGATGTGACTTGATGATGCTCAGGGAGCTGACCTGGTGAGTGACAATGTGCTGTTATTAACTATTTTTCTGATTTTGTCTGCTTTTTTATCAGTTTGGGGGTAAGCAAAAAGCAGCCAATACAATGCAGACCTATTGTACACCATCTTGTATGACTGACCCTCCAACTAAAATGGGAATTAATTTAAGAAAATTGTCTACCAAATAACTCTTGGGGGAAAAAATCATACACAAGACGAAGAGTCTGTCAGCAGTTTTCAGTAAATAGATAAAAACAAGTAGAAAACCAGATGCTGGAAAGTGAAAAAAAGTGATTAGACTGGGCAAGTTCTGGAGAGTATTTTACAGCATAAACTAAACAATGAGGCCTTCAGCGAATCTGATGTTTATTAAAAGGATGGGAAACACCTTTCCTCAGTTTGTCCCTCACAGCAAGGAATATAAAAGGAGGTTACAATGACCTTAGAGAAAGTACTGTTGTGCAGAGGACTTTACTCTAAGTTTTCCAAACTAACAAAAGTACAACTCAACGTGTTCTATAAAACTCTTTGTATGTAAAGAAAAGTGAGAAATTAATAGACTGGTCCAGACCTGCACTGAGTACGTTAAAAGAACTGAGGTAAAGGGTCCTTCCAGACTTCTGGTAAAGTCACATATTAACATAACAATGAGCAGGCAGATTTTAGAAATGGGAGGAAATATTTAGATTTTAAACAATCAAAACGTATTTTGATCGGTTAATGTTACTGGGATGAAGTTGCCGACAAACACTGGCATATGGGACTCTGTGCTTCTCTGTCTTCCACTCTTTGACCCCAAGCTCCAACAGTGAGCTTCTGGAACACACACAAGCCTCTTCTGGGCTCGCAGCATGAAAAGTATTCTGTGTTATATCTGTCAGGATGCAACATCACAACACAGCACTGCGAACGTGGTGAGTGTGTAAAGGGAGGTCTGTCAAACCAAATTTGCAATATTTGCACTGAGTTGAGCAAATTTTCAGTGAAGAGACTGATATTTACTTCCGGAGAGCGCTAAGCTCCAGCTGATGATAACTATTTCAGAAGCCATATTTGCAAAGCTCACTTGCAAACCTTTGCATTTCAAGCAGTGTCTCCAGAGACCAGTGCTAGTTGTCCATATATCCAAATCTCGGACAATTCAAAAGCAATTGCATTCTGCTCTCAGCCTCTCCCTGGGTGGGTTTTTCACCATCCATTTCATCACTATTGTAAGAGGACACAACTCTGCTAGTTTCAGTGGAGTTGCACTAATTTATGCAATTGGGATATTTTGACCTAAAGATTCATTCTGATATATTTTGATTGGAAAAAAATACACTCTTATGTTTGTTTAATCAAAACATGTTTCAAGAAGGAAAAAATAGTTTGGCTGCTTCGTGTTGTTTGCATGGAGGAGGAGATTTCTCTCTCTAGCTTGCCGGGCAGATTCTTTTTTTTTCCTGGGAAAAAGTCAACTTCCCAATTCTGCAGCTTGCTCCCATCAAATCTTTTCAGAAACCACATCATCTCTTCTATTTGTTTATAAATTCATTTATATTAATTGTCTATGCACTTTTGCATTAATTCAGATGTTGTTAGAATTAGCTACATTACAAGCTGGGGCTGGGCTCTTACATTTTATAGCAACATAAGGAGTGCAGACCTTTCTGTCATTTTGAATATTTAGGAGTTAATAAAAATAAATACAAATAAGGTTTGGGTTGAGAGGAGCAAGAGCGTGTAGGGTGGGGGGATGGAAACAAGGAGACCATGAAACCAGGCAGCTTGACTAAGTATTAGGCCTGGGAAATTAGGAGAGGCATTGGGGTTGCGCACAGCTGTTCAATGAGGAGGCCTAGTCTCCCAGTGCTGGAGCCAGGAGTGAAAGTAAGGTGGTAAACGCCAGTACAGTGCACTGGTAAGAAGTGGCCACCGGTACAGGTCCATATCACTGACTTTAAAGCGCTGCCCCTTTTGAGCCCCCTGTCCATGTTTTACTGCTGGAGGGGGAGAAGGAAAATTGAATTTTCCCTTAAAGAATTATTGTGTTTATTTGGGAGATAAAATTCATTTATTAGAGTGTGAAGCAGAGGGAATTTAACTTTAGGAGGGAAAGCCCATAACCACCACAACATAGCACTTGCTTGCACGTATCAAACAGAAATGGGTTTTTCATGTGAAACCTGCACAGAACAATGGAGGCCAGAATCAGCTCTCACCAAGACTCCCTCTTGTCCATCTTGTTGCAAAGTAATGGGATTTAGTGAATGATACAGTTTAAATTGGGTGTGGGGGGTTGTTTGTTTTTCAATCTTTATGGGACCATAACAAGATTGCGTGTGCTCTGCATCAGTAAAAAGATGCCAAGGACTATATTAGGGAATCTGATCAGTAATTAAAATCCAACTGATGATCAGGTGAGATCCCTTCTTCTGATGGCGTCTGTGAGTGGGGTCATTGTTTAAAAATGAGGGAAGAAGTCATCTGTTTCCTTCCTGAAAATCCTCTCAGAGGAGACTTGGATTGGACTCCTGTGTAAGACCCTGTAAAGCCAATAGAGACGGGAAGGGTACCTGATCTGCGCAGTCATAACTCTGAACATGAGATTCAGAAATTATGCTTTGCTGTGACTTTACCTAATTCTGCTAATCTGGAGTTAACTGAAATGATATGCATAGTGTATTATCCTCACCAAGAGAATCTCAGACAAATAGTTTCCAAAATTGTAAGAAACTGAAGCAACCTCTAATAAACATGGAAATAAGACTCGCAAATGTACCTGTCTCATATGGTACTACCACATACACCTCAGCAGGCACAATTTATCCTGTGCAACTGCCATTTTACAAGCGCTTAATACCACCTGTGTGGAAGCAACACAGTCAATCAGCTATTGGCTTTCACTTGAAAGAGTGACTCACCGCTTTGCTTTTTCCTGCGTCTTCTCCAGCACACCACAGTCAGAACCAACACAACAAAAACTATGAGTAGGGCCGCTGTGGCCAGCAACCAAGGAACTGAAAACCACCAGCCTGTGGGAAATAAAATCAAACAAAGGCACTTCAGATACATGAGAGAATGTAGAGGGCGTAATGGGGAACACAGCGATGGTGGGCTCTTTCCAAGTTCTATTTAGGTCATCACTAGAGTTGTTCAGAGCAACATTGGCTGAGTAAATTTATCTTTGACAACACACAAGTCAAAATACCTACGGTGCCCATCTTCACCACTTATTTCTCCCCTATTCTGTTTCCACATCCTCTGGGAAATCAGAAAACATTTCATCAAGCTAACAAGATGTAACCAGAATCATTACCAGCAAAGAAACCTTACTGTCTCTCCATCGCTGTCATGATAAATAAGCAGGACCTTGTGTATTCAGAAGCCATGATATTTTTTGAAGAATCCTACCCATTCCAGATTCCAAGTTTTCATTTATGAAAGAAACATGCATTTCTTCTTAGTTAATATTTCTATTGTAGTTGCAAAGGTTAAATTAACCTTCAAAATATGAATTGAGTGCATGTAATGATGCCTGCAAGCAGGCTTAAACAATAGTTCAAAGACATGTAAACTGCTTTCCTTCATCTCAAAGCGGAATTAGCAATGGAACCCCAACGATGACAATTTAAGGGCTTGATCCAATTCTCATCTAAGTTAATGAAAAGACTCTCGCTGACTTCAATGAGAATTGGATCAAGCCAAAAATGTCCATGGTGTCAATAAGAGATGGTTGAATGTTTTCATCTGAAATTGTTTTTCTTTGAAAAATTGCAGGTTTGTCCAAATTGATACATTTTGCGAAAACAGTTCGATTTCACATACCTTTTTGATTTTTCAACAAAAACAGTTAAAAAACCAAAATATTGATTTCTTTTCAAAACTGAAATTTTCACCTCTTTTCAAAAACCTAAACCAGAGATTCAATTGCAGATGAAATTAAAATGGTCATTTTGAATTTTTTCAATAAAAATATTAAAAATCCAATTTTTTGGTGGAAAATTTTGACCAGTCCTGGTTGTTAACCATTTGTGTTAAAAAGATCATTAAAAATCATACAGCTTAATTGATTCAATCCACAGTCCCAAACTGCCTTGCATGCCTTCCCAGGTGCTATAAAACTGGAAGGATTGTCTTACAGTCAAGGCACCGAATATACTATAATTCGGGCCATGTGGGTTTCATTCCCATTTCTTTCACAGGATTCTTGTGCGACCTTGGACAAGTAACTAAAGACTGAGTGCTCAAAAGCAATCAGGTTCCTAATTTCTATTTAAATCAGTGGAAATTAAACAATGAAAGGAGCGTTACTCCTTTTGAGTATTCAGCCCTTAATTTTTTAATGCTTCCGTTTCCTCTCTATAACAACTGGGCTAATAATACTTCTCTACCTCACCAGGATGCTGGCAGGACAAATTCATTAGCACTGTGATGTGCTCAAATACTTTAGTGATGAATCCAAAAATACCTATAAAAATTGAGCCTCAAATGTCTCCCTCCCAGCTACCCAAAACACCAGTCTCCACTGACATTGTTGGGTTGGCAGTAAAAAAACAAAAAGTTGATGTCACACTGAAAATGTAGGGGCAGAGAGCACGTAACTGAATTCATTATTAAAATAAACAACAAGTGATACTGTACTGACTGAATTATTCATTTTCATATTTAAGTCAATAAAGACAGGTTTCAGAGTAACAGCCGTGTTAGTCTGTATTCGCAAAAAGAAAAGGAGTACTTGTGGCACCTTAGAGACTAACCAATTTATTTGAGCATGAGCTTCCGATGAAGCGAGCTGTAGCTCACGAAAGCTCATGCTCAAATAAATTGGTTAGTCTCTAAGGTGCCACAAGTACTCCTTTTCTTTAAGTCAATAAAAACGCTACATAGAATTTTCAGCCTGAGGCATGGGTTTGCCACAGGAACCATGGGGCCTTGTCCCAGAGAGCATACTGATACCAGTCGGCTCTGTGTTCTTGGGGAACTGGGGCGCAGTATCCAGCCTGTTTGACTCATGAAAGACACCCCCCGCCCCCAGCCTCTGCTTGAACCAAAACCCATCAGAAGAAAGACTTACAGAAAGCAATGAAAGGTGGTGGGAGACACACATAAACCCCTCCTGACAAGGGTGACAAGATTAAGGCAACTCCCCTCACCTCATCTGCATCAAAGATGGGACAGGGAGGCATCTCTATTAGCATACAGAATGGACAACAGAGATTCCAAGGCACTGAACTCTGGGACCAGAAAAACAGGGAAGCACTGCATCCGGGGGGATCTCTGCTCCAGATGTTAATGAACCTACGCCTGCACACACCCAGCTCAGCAATTATCAGACCAATTCTAGTAATGAATCCTTGACTGATATCCAAAATACTGAAACTGCCCAATTGCATTGTGAGCTCCCTGGTAAGAACCAAAGGAGTACTTGTGGCACCTTAGCGACTAACCAATTTATTTGAGCATAAGCTTTCGTGAGCTACAGCTCAAATAAATTGGTTAGTCTCTAAGGTGCCACAAGTACTCCTTTTCTTTTTGCGAATACAGACTAACACGGCTGTTACTCTGAAACCTGGTAAGAACCACCACCCATAGCCAAGAGTGATCAGTTCCTATTGTCTAGCCTAAAGAAAACCCTTGAGTCAACAGTTTACCCATAAACAAATCTAGTGTTCTCCCTTGAACCATTGTTATTTCCCTACAAAAAACCCCTACCCACACTCAAGTAAGTGTTCTGATGCCTGGATTCAAACACGGCATCCATTCCACTGGGACTCCCTCTTCTCCTGACTGATCGTGCTGGGGGCTCTGCCTGTCTCCTGAGCTACCATCATCACCTGGGAACCCCAACCAGTTCAAGCTTCGTGGAGTGGTGAGACCCCATCTCTCTCTTTCTGTTTTCTTTTCTACCTCAGGTATAACTTTTTAACCCTGACTTGTTTGATCAGTTTTTGTACTCCTTAATCATGTAACTGTTGTGTCTGTTTAGGCTCTCCTGGTGTGGTTATCACTTTTATTCAATAAATAACTTTTATGGTTAAGCTGGTTGCTTCCCTCTTGCTCTCTCTGAACTTTACTCTTTTGTGTTTCTGGCTTTCCCATTTACTCTGCAGCAATGCTCCTCTTACCTAAGCTAAAGATCCCTGCAGTGCCCCAAAATCCTGTGGGGTTTGCTCATCAAGTGGGTTACTACCAGAACAATTGTAATGTGAAAGTGGGGATAGGGACGTGCTGAACCTGTGACATGTGAGGGTAGCAGCTCGGAAGTGCTCCTCGACCCAGACTACCGAGTCCAGGGGCAAATAAGGGGTCAGCTTGAAAGTGTTGCTTGACCCTGTCCACTCAGACTTGGTTTGTTAGTCTGTGTGTGTGTGTGTATGTGTGTGCGTGCACACCTGATTCTAGAGTTGAGGAACCCAGCCCTGGGGCACCTAGGTCCTGCAGGATAGCTCCATTGGGAGGGGACTTGCAGAAGGGAGAAGTAGAGCTACATACAAAAAACACAAGTGACACAAGCAGTACATTGACAGAATTACAGAACCTGCCCCCCTCAGAAGAGTAACCCTAATAAATGAGCATACCCCGAAGTAATGGGAAATCTGGTAACAATACAGAGCTCTCTAACTTTTTTTCCCCTCCAGAGCACATAGTGATAGACTGCCGACTCCTGCACCAAACCCCAATGCAGTGCTGAACTCAGAGTAGGATCCTCTCTCTTTCTCCCTCCCCACCACACAAACACTTGCCTCTCCTCTTTCTTGGACGTTAGTTTCCCATTATCTCCCCCCATCCAAAAATGGGGCTGAAGATATGCTAGTACAAAATCTTGCAGCCAAAAGGACATTAACACTGGTCATGTATATATCACTAACTGACCGTCTTCCACTTTCACACTGTAATCTCTGTCTTTCTCCATGTGCCGTACTCTGCAGATCAGCAATTGCCCAGCCAGGCTTGTAGAACGGTTGACATAGAGTTTGCTGATGACGGACAATGTTCCATTGGGGTGCGTGACCACCTCTTCTGTCTTTTCACTCTGAGCTTTCGGCACAATCCAGGAGATCACAGGACGAGGCCAGGCATTAGCAGAACAGGTGGCTGTCAAGTTGCCTTCAGAGATTATATAATGGAGAGATCCTCTGAGCTGCTCTGAAACACACACAAACACAAGGAGCTTTTGATCAAATGGAATAGCATCGAAACCAATGTACCTCATTGCATTCTGACGCAGCCCCATAGGGAAGGAATACAAACAAGTCCACCTGCCCCAGACCCTTGCTATGATTCATTCCCTATTCCCTTGGTCCCCTATATTGAAGGGAACTATCATGGAGGCATTAACTTCTTTTGAGATCCCGGAATTGAGGGTTTCTACCAAGAGATAAATCATGTGGCCGCTTGACAATGTTCTCCTAGCTGCTACCAATAGGGCTGTGCAATGAGGCTCACGCAGCCTGAGTCCTAGCCATGACTGGGAAGACCCTGCAGGGAGGAAGATCCCCCTCCATGAGTTTTAGGCGGCACTTAGAGGACATTAAAGTAAGGACGCTCACAGTGAGAGTCTCCACATGCAGTAACAGGGGCCTGCAGTGAGGCGGCTCACATTGCTGGAGTCCCTCTAGCAGCAACAGATAGGGTATTCTTCTAACGCAGTTCCAGCTAGTACAGACATGGTACTGCTGTGGGGAAGCTCCCAGTGCTGGAGTCCTTGATGCAACTGACCAGTGGATGCTGCAAGCAAATGCTGCAGCTAGAAAACACCTTCCCTTCCCTTTAGAGATTCTTCCCCACAGAGAACCTTACCATAGACAGTAAAGCAGGTGTCTTGTGGGATGGCTCCGGTGGGAAAGGTATTAAAGAGGCATTTGTAACATCCATCATCCTGGATTCCAACTCTCCAGAGGGTGATGGCCGTATCATTTAGTGACAGGCGTGTGAAATTTAATCGACCTCGGTATGTTTCAGCAACAGTTACTCCTTTAGATACACTGTACGTAGCCAAATTCTCTCTAGTATTTGTCTTCTGCCATGTAACTTGCAGAATGTCATAAGATCCCATCAGAAGGCAGCTCAAGGTCACATTGCCACCCACCTCCACCACTTTTTTCTGTATCACTGTGTCTGCTGTAGTGATATAAAACAATACATGAAATAGACAAATATCACCTTCGGTCATGCTTAGAAGTCTCTTGCTGACTTTCTGGGCCAGATAACCAGCAGATGTAAATTGGGGCTATTCTATTGACCTCAGCGGAGCATTGTTGATTTACATCAGCCGAGGTCCTTGGCCTCCATCTTTATTAGACCATCAAAAAGCCACTTACTGCATCTCCTTACCAACCCCTCTATGCACCTACCTCCACTTGATTAAATCCACATATGGCTTCTGGTTCTCCCAAAAGATTTTTTTTTTATAAGAGGTTAAAGGAAGACTGGCTAGCAAGAGAGACCCAAAGCCATTCCCACAGAGTCAGATGGAGAAAGAATCCATTAAGTTATCTATGTACACAGAGAAAGAGGGAGACTGAAATTAACTGGTTTCTGAGAGCAGTGGTTCACAAAGTTATTTGCTTGCATCCCCCTTCTTTCTGCCTGAAGTAGTTTATGGCCCACTCCTGCCACACAAGTACACATACCAATTAAAAAAAAAACCAGCTACGTGCAACTTTCACTAAATAGTAAAAACATTAAGGCATTGATTCAAACAGAGCCATTTAAGTATATAGTAATGTAAATTTTAAGTGAGATACTGCTTACTGGCATCACACTGTTGTTACTGGTGTGAGGGGTGCACCTGGTTTTGTGTGTGGAGAAGAGCCATTCCATCTTGGGCTGGTAATACCATACCACGCTTACTTCTGTGCTGCTAGCAGTGGCGGTGCTGCCTTCAGAGCTGGGCCCCTGGCCAGCAGCCGCTGCTCCCCAGAAGCCCAGCTCTGAAGGCAGCCAGCTCTCAGAATACATTCCGTGCCCCCCCGTTTAAGAATCTCCGTCTTAGAGGACCCAGTGAGCTGTCACTTTACTGCTCTGGTGGAGCCTCAGGAATCAGAGACCAGCCCCCACACCCCTTGTAGAAATCTGAGAGGAAATACCACTGGCCTCACCTTCTGCCCTGCAGAGCATGACAAAGACCACAGTCAAAATCAGACCTTGGCAAGTCATCTGAGAACTGATCTGTTCTTTCACCTGGAGAAGCAAGAGAGATTTGATACATGAAGTTATGGGCTTAACAGTAGATCTATTTCCAATGATAATGCTCCCATTTATGGAGCCATGACAAGACCGCTCTTGGGTGTAACAGGAACACATTTGCAAACTGCAGAGAGAGTCCATTCTAAAGTCCATTACACTACCAAATGCGATTGAGGTGTAGGAGCTGGAAAGTTACCTGAAGTTAAATCTCTTTCCTCCCCCCACACCTCCAAAGTTCTACATTTAGAGCTAGAATTTCAAACAGCCTCTAAGGTTGTGTAACCCACACACCTTCTGGGTGTGGTGTTCTGTCCCATCTAGTGGCACTGAGATCACTTAAAGAGAGAGCAATTAATGAGTCTGCTCTACAGCCTTAGCTAATAGGCAGTTGGCTTTTAGTTCATGCAGCAGAGGCTCATGCACTAAGCTCCGGATACCCCCGGTTCAATCCTGCCCGCCAGCGACCAGGGTCTGTCGGCATTACAGTTGCACCCGAAAAAACTTTGTACATGCACTGTACATGCAAAATAGGCATTTGCTCATGTAAATCATGTTTGTGCACCCAGCACCTATATGCATGGAAAACTCTTGGGCCCAGTTTTGGAGGTATAATTGAAATGTTGGCATTTGGAGGCTTAGAAGTACCAGGGATGGAGACATACAGGGATTTGGGAGCTTTAGGACTTTGCTGGATGTTTAGTTGTTTTCTTATGATAATTTTATCTACTAGGATACAATTATTGTCCATGAGTGAGTCACTCTGCTGCTCAAAGGCTAAACTGGCCACCAGCTGTGGATGCTGGGTACAGAAATAAACGTCTCCTCTACGTATAGCATGATTAGATGAGTGGTCTCTGTCACAAATATTTCTAAGGCACTTGTACCTTAGTGCTATAGCATCTAAGAGCTACAGGGGTATTTATACTAGAGCTGGTTGATAGCCAGGACACATATTTTCATTAAATTTTCACAAAAAAGTTCATCCTTTTTTGTGAAAATTTTCAAAATTGTTAAATTTTCATTCAGCCCTGGTTTATACCCTATGTCTGGCAATGGCCACACTGGAGACAAGATACCAGACATGATGGATGTGTCTTCCTTATGCTTTCCCCCTTCAAAGACAGGGAGAAAGTAAGAGGCACACAAACACATGCATGTTTTCAACAGCATTAATAGCAAAGCATCCATATATAGTATTGTAACCGCCTTTCTTCCCTGGGTTACTCGGGAGCAGGCAACACTCACTTGTGTCCCTGGGCACCTGACGTTGTTGACATTAAAGGAGATCCTGAGTATCCCAGTGGTGATGTTGGAAAAGTGGGAATCCTCTGTCCACCTCTCTGCTGCAGTCCCTTTTCTCCTAAAGGAAGTTAAAATTGGTGATACCTCCACCTGGCTGTTCCCTGTACACACTCAATGGCGTGCCTTGGGAACCACCAGGAATAAATGCCTTCAAATAGTAATAATAATAATAATAATAAATAATAATAATAATAACAACAACAACCTGTGGCATGGGTCTAACTCAAATACCAATTATAAATAATATACATCCAATATACTTAAATTAGAGCTAATGTAACGGCGACAGACCCTGGTCGTCGGTGGGTGGGATTGAACTGGGACCTCTGAAACTTAATGCATGAGCCTCTACCGCATGAGCTAAAAGCCAACTAGCTGTTAGCTAAGGCTGTAGAGCAGACTCATTTTATCTCTCTCTCTAAGTGATATGGGTGCCCCTAGATAGGACAGAACACCACACCCAGGAGGTGTGTGGGTTACACTAACACTCATTTACTTAACAATTTAAGAAACAGGGTATAACAGACTAAAATTAAATGTCACTACTAATTTAAATCTACAGAAACAGTTGAATAAAATCAATTAACAAATATACTATACAGTAATAAATTAAACTTAACTGGCATTTACACTGCCACCATTCACTGCACCCCACAGTGCACACTCTGGATCTCAGAGTCCTAAACACTTGCTTGCGTGGGTGCGCTTGAAGATCTGCAGCTGGAGACAGCACTCTCTTGGTTCCGTGTATCAGTCCAGCCAAGTCAAAAAGCTGCAGAACCCCTCCGAAACTGGAGCTGGCCCCACCAAATGTCAGCAGCTCTGGGTCCTAGTTCGATGGGAAGATCACTATGCCTCTCCTCAGACTCAGTCTCTCTGCGGTGCCCCTTCCCTTGCAAGTACTTTCCCAAACAGGAGTGTGGGCTACTCATAGTTCCTTCACTGCAGCCCACCTCAGTCAGCTCTATGCACAGCAATAGTCTCTGCTCTTGACTCCAGTGAAGCCATCAACAGCCTCTGAGGCTCCCTGCTCGATCAAAGCCCCTGCAGGCTCTCAGAAGCAGCTTCTGGCTTCCTAGCAGCAGCTCCCGGTATGGACCAAGCTCCACAGCAGCAATCTCACTTCTTTTCCCAAAATAGAGTCCACCGCCTGTTCTCCCTGCAGGAGGAGATCTCTCCCCCTTTCCCCAAGGCATCATGGGAGTTGTAGTCTCTAAAGCTAGATTGCAGCACACAGGCTTTTCCCTTGGAACACTCCCCCCAAAAAGTTCAGAGGCCCCTCTAATAAGGGGTGCCTACATTCTCCCCCCACCAGAAAAATCCTTAATGTCCCCATTGAGGAACCAGAACAAAGAAGAAAAACAGTTTAATTTACAATATAATACATACATTCTTAATTCCTACTGCTAGCTGGGGTAACAGTCAATGGAAGATAAAGTGTAGGCCCACTAGAATTGGAACAATTTAAGCATCTAGCCTGAGGTAAGCACCACCATAAAAAATGCTTGAGCTTATCACATATTCTAGTTTGGAATCCACAGGTGTTTTAAAATCTTTCAGCACAACCACCCCACAATGTACTATGGGGATGGACACCTCACTGCTGACTCCAACCACATCATATGTGAACCGCTGTGGGGGCCTGAATTCTTGCTGGAACCTCCTTAAGGGCTGTACCATCCCTTCTTCATCTTCTACAGGAGGTGTTAATAAAGCTCCATCAGAATTAGCCATTGTAGAAGGAGCAACATCTGTAGCAACCTTGTTCCCTACAACTAAAGACCCAGGGGGATTGTTGCATACATCTACGCCCTCCCTGAGGACTTCTCCCACTGGAAAGAATGGAAGAGCTTCAGGGTTTAAAGGAGGTGTGCTAATTACGCTTTCAGGTTGATCTGGCTCAAGTGGCAGTACAACAGACCCAGTAGATATATCTGAGGGTTCTTGATACATAGTTATATAGTCGGGGCAAAGCTCCTCAGAATCAGTCTCTGATGTCCATCATGGTAGCAGGGACTGGCACAGGATTAGACCACTTATGGAGTTGTGGGAGGAACTCTTGGACGTCAGAGCTCTTCTCTGGTTAGATGATCTGGGTAGAGAGGTAGGCTCGATATCTGATGGAGCATCCATTCTGACGTGTTGCCCCAGAGGAAGTAAGTGGTTTTGATGTAAAGTCTTTAATGGACCACCATTCTTTTCAGGCTTTAGTTAAAGACAGGTAGCCCAGGCATTTGATTCTCCACAATGTAGGTCTGCGAATTCCAGCAGTTTGCAAGTTTATGTTTTCCAGGGAGACCAAGATTTTTTTGATAAGAACACGATCACCGGGTTGCAGATCACAGTATCGCATCTTCTGGTCATAACGTTCTTTATTGCCCCGGTTCATCTTATCAGATGCCACCTGAGCAAGTTGATGAGTAGCACACAGGTCTTTTTTTAAATTAGCCACATACTGGAGGTAAGACTGGCGGGAAGATCTATCCACTGAGACCACAAAACAGAGGTCTACTGGTAATTGTGCTTCATGCCCAAACATTTGGAAATACGGAGAATACCCAGTGGCCTCATTTTGGGTACAGCTGTAAGCATGCACAAGCTGGCTAACATGCTGGCTCCATCTAGATTTCAGTTTGGTATTCAAGGTTTCCAACATATTAAGCAGGATCCAATTGAATCGTTCAGGCTGTGGGTCTCCCTGTGGATAATAATATACCTAGCATAGTCAGAAGTTCTTGAATTAATCGATTTTCAAAGTCGCATCCTTGATCAGAGTGCATCCGCTTGGGCAGCCCATATTGCACAAAGTACTTTTCCCAAAGAGTTTTAGAAACAGTAGAATCTTTTTGATCTTTAGTGAGAAAGGCCTGTGCATACCTTGTAAAATGATCAGTTAGGACTAGCACATTACAAGTATTTCTGCTATCGGGTTCAATTGTGCGAAAATCCATATAGACCAAATCCATAGGGCCTTCACTGTGAAGACGAAACAGTCGAGCAGTTCACTTGTGTATACACCGGCCACATGTCTTACAATATTCCTCAACATCAGTCTTCATCCGTGGCCAGTAGAATTGGTCTTGTGCAAGCCAGTAGGTCTTATCAAACCCAAGATGCCCACAGTCATCATGTAAAGATTGTAGTACAGCTTTGTGAAACTGTTGAGGTAAAATCAGTTGTTTTTTTGCGTGTTGCCCGGGATGGTTAGTGATTCTATACAAAAGTCCATTCTACAGGGAAAATCGATTCCATTCTTTCATTAGGAGAGGAATATCAATGTGCCTGCGCTTATCCACAGCATCAGGATTCCCTTGATCAACTGCCAGCCAAACCTTTCCAGCACAGGCATCATTCTGTTGTGTGGCTTGAAGCTCAGAACGATTCAAATGGGGAAGATGGGAGGTGTCTAAAGAAGCAAGCTTGCATTAAGCTTGGGGAATAGCATCAATAAGGCAAGCAGGTAACATTTTAGTCAGTTTCCCACTAACAGTAGAAACTTGACACAAAGCTCAAACCCCAGGGGCAGATATCTCTTCCCACTCATCCTCAGGTGCCGTCATCTAGACAATGCATCAGCATCCAAGTTCTTGCTACCTGGGCGGTACACTTTAGGCTGATGTTGTAGCTGGACAATGCCGCTAACCACTGGTGACCAGTGGCATCCAGTTTGGCTGATGTTAAAATAGAAGTCAAAGGATTATTATCCATGTGAACCTCAAACCTCGTCCCATACAGATAATCATGCAGCTTGTCTACTATAGCCCATTTTAAAGCCAGAAATTCAAGTTTGTGCACAGGGTAGTTTTTTTCAGTGGATGACAAGCTTTGGCTGATGAAGGCAACCGGCCTGAACCCCTCAGGGTGTTCTTGGTATAATACACCTCCTAATCCATCCATTCTGGTATCCACATGCAAAACATAAGGCTTTTGAGGATCAGCAAATGCCAAGACGGGAGCTTTGACGAGGCTTTCCTTAATTTTCTGAAATTTTCTTAATTCTTCCTCACCACAACAATTGGGAGGGATACGGGTTTTGTGACTCAGAAATTATTCCAGCAGCCATCAAGCCATGTAAGTGTCTCTGAACATCTTCCACATCAGCTGGGGCCAGGCGACAGGATCGTTCTCGAAAAGGTTCAGAGTCAGTTAGACAGATCTCATGCTGAGTACTTTTTGCACAGCCCACATCCCACTCATATCGGGAGAAGACATCAGCATGTTCTAACATTTTCCTACAGAGGCACTGTTTCCATTCCTCAGAGATAGGGGAATCTCCATAATCAAAAGAATCGGGTGTCAAGTCAATAGTGTTGTTCTTGTCCGCTGCAGCATGCATCTGAGGAACTACATCAACTGGGCAATCACTGTCCCACGCCGAATGATCACTTCGTGAGCAGATACATTTCTAACAGTAACTGTGATCCTTCTAGCAGACCCTGCCGTAGTCGCTTGCACCTCAGGCCTGACCACAAATCCTCCAGAGAGAGAGATTTCCTCTGTTGTTTCCAAGAACAACAACTGATCAGTCGACTGAATAAGAAACTTAGGTCACTTTATGGGTGCTGCCGGGTGGTATGCAGACATTTTTTTTCTGTGCATACCACACATTGCTGTATCTGTTAGCATCCTCATCAGAAACAGAGAGATTCTCCTTGGAAGAATTTATAGGCTACACGGATGTTAGGGTGAATAGGCAAGGTATTGATGCATTGTTTTTTGCATACTTTGAAAAATCGCCAGACCAGACTGGTGTTGGTTTCAACCAAGATTGCAACATTACTCTTGACACAGGAGTCTGGGCACAGTAGGACTAAAGTGTCCAGCTTCTCAGGAGCTCCCATAATGGACTATGGGAACTCAATATGAATGGAAAAGTACCCCTCATATGGGTATTTTTGATTACTCAACCCCCAGATTTGCAAATTATCTAAGGGTTGGATGGGCAAGTGATGAAGGTGGGTGTTGTAAAATGTCTTATATAGAATGGTGACCTGCGAACCAGTGTCCAGAAAGGCTTGAGCATAAATGCCTTCTACTTGAATAGGGACAATGGGAGCTGGACTGACCAGTCCTTGGGAAAAATCCCTCCAGGTACGAGCAACCTGTTGGTAGCACTTAGTGGAGCATACCTTCCTTGAAACACCAGTTCGCTCCTTCACTGGGCTTCTCTGAAATTTCCAGAATTCTTTCTGGCTTGGATAAGCTTGCAGGTGACTATCCGTTAATCCTCTTTTGCTTCACAGTCTTGTTTTGTGTGACCATTCTCCCCACATTTGTAGCAGATGTCGTCACTTCTACAAGTAGTTTCCACAGAGCCTCTTGAACGACAGGTGGTAATATCAGCACCTGCATCATTGGTTCTCACAAAGGCATCCCTCCTTTGTAACTTAGGATATCTGTCAGGTTTTTCCACTAGAGTATGCAGCTGGAGTAGCTGATTAATGTGCTCAGTTAGGCACAGCAGGCCCTTCTTTAGGTCAGCTATTCCATCATGAGGAGCCGCTGCCAGTCAATCCTCCTCTTCCTTAATATCCCATACCAGTCTGGAGAAGGAGGGGGGATTCCAAAGTGAATCAGAAAGCTGCAGTTTCAGGGTTGTTAGAATGCCAGGAAAAGCATCCTTCAGTACTTGCTCCATCCTCACCTGATCCAAGTGGGTAGCAAGTGTTCCCTTCTTTACCAGTACCTTATGTAGTAGCTTATCCAGACAGCATATGCACTGTGAAAGTTTTTCACCTTCTTCTTGATATGGGGACCGGCTATGCCACCATCAAGCTCCCAAGAAAAGGCATTCAACATAAACAAGAAACATTGTACTGGTGACATCCTCACTGGTAACATTCCATCTCTGAATACTAACAAAATACTGCTGTGTCCTGGCCCTTTCATCTTGTGCACACAGCTTCTAATTAATTTACTGTCACTGTGACAGCTACCCTCTCTCCGCCTCCTTGGCTCACAAAGGGCCATTACATTAATGTAGGGTGGGGAACACTTGATGACAATAAAGAAATACACTTATCTCAAGAGTGACCTCCCAAGGCAAGGATCTGCGTTTCAGGAGCAGAGAAGGAAACAGATGTGACAAGAACAATAAGGAGTGCAGCATTACTCAGAAGAAAAACAAAATTCTTGCATTGTCAATGGAAACACAAGAGACATAGTAAAAATAAGAAGTGCCCTCCAGCGAAACAGTAGGAAAAAGATAAAGACCGATAGACAATGAGGGGAAAGGTACCTGAGAAAGCAGCTGTTTCCCAGGACACCTGACCACTGAAAAAAAATCTCTCCTTGAGCCCAGAGTCCTGCAGCCACGCAATCAGCCCTTAAGGCTTAACAGAAAAAAAAACCCATAAGCCACTATTTATTATTATTGTTAATAATAATAATACCACCACCTGCCCATCAGGTTACTCTCCAAACACATGTATTCTATTTTGTAAATCATTTAATGCATATAGTCAATAATGAATTTGTAAGGAGATGATGTAAAACATCTAGTTCCTGGTTAAATTCAGCTTGCCTTGCTGCACTGCCAAGTCACTTAGTAATAAAATTCTTCACTATGGTGGCATTTGATCCAGTTGTTCTCAGTGACTTCAATCTGCATGTAGATTTTAAATCTTCTAAGGCAGTTTAGGATTTCCTGGGTGCCAAGAGGACCATGGGCCTATATCAGGTATTTATTGGTTCAACTGAGACAGCTGATCACACTTTGGACCTGGTTTTTGGATTGGGATTGGAGGCTAAGTAACTTCACTTAAACCCATGTCACAGATCAACCATTACCCCTGCACTTTGAGGTTGGGGCTCATCTTTCCTTTTGAGGCAAAGGACCTGTTTTGATGGTCTGCCCCCAGAAATTAATGGAGCCAGAAAGATTCCAGAACACTCTGAGAGAGAATTTCATTCGACAGACAGACCACTGCCTGGATGGGTTTAGTGGAACATAAAGGGTATGTCTACACTTCAATAAAACACCCCTGGCTGGCCTATGTCAGCTGACTCAGACTCACAGAGCTATGGTTGGGAGGCTATCGAATTGCAGTGTAGAGGTCTGGCCTTGGGCTGGAGCTCGGGTTCTGGGACCCCTTATTAGAGTATTAACATACCCTATAACACTTTTTATCCTCCATCCCTAGGTACACTCTTCGCTGTCTTGTTTCTCACAGATCACCTTTGATTGACAGATGATCTGCCACATTCAGAAGAGAGAGAAAAGAAAATCCTTTGTATTTTCCTCCACCAGAGCATCTTCAAAATCTCAGACAGCACATTTGTTTTGGATGACAAAGTATCTGATAAATCCTAACGGTCTCGGCTTAGTAGTTAGCTGGGTTCCTCTCACTGTGAGAAAACTATTTGTTATTGTATGGACAAGATTGATCAACTTAGAGACAGGCTGTCTGTTTCCATGGTGACCAAGCCAGGTCTTGAGGGAACAAGGTAAAGTCCTAGTCTTGTTTGCTAGATCTTCAGCTGGTAATGCTCACTGAGTGTGACACTCTGTATCTCAGGGGAACACCCTGCACCCCCATCTTCATCCTTATAATAGGATCGTGTGGTATCCAATGCAGAGTTTGTCATGGTGCACTGAGCACTGTTGTTATAGTAATGTTATAGGTTGTAAAATTTCATGTATATAGTTATGAGGCTGAAAATGTGTCCTCATGGCTTAAAACAAGCCCAGAGAAAACTCTCCAGGAACAGAAGGGCAGTTCACATCTCATCAGGGCATGTATGGGACAAACTCAGCTCAGCCTCATAGGAACAAAGAACACTGGCCTAGTCAGCAACAAAGGATCTGTTGGACTCTTGAGTGAGTCACCCCTCTTCCCTTGGTCAGTTTGGGACTACGATGAGGTAATGCTCACCTGACCCTGAAAGAGTGGGGGGGAGGAAGCCAAGAGGGAAGAAAGAACATGATAAAAGGGAGAGATGTTGCCATGTTCTTCCTCTCTCTTCCACGTCGATCTACAGACATCACCACCAAGTGACTGAAGCACTGATCAAAGGGGAGAGCCTGGCTGAAGGGCAACCAGCTAGCCTGTGGTGAGAAGCATCTAAGTTTGTAAAGGCATTGAAAGTGTTAAGATCAGTTTAGAATGCATTTTGCTTTTATTTCGTTTGACCAAATCTGACTTCTGGTGCTTTGACTTAAAAATCACTTAAAATCTATCTTTTGTAGTTAATAAATTTGTGCATTTGGTTTGAAGCATGTCAGAGACTCCCCTTCAGATAACAAGCCTGGTACATATCAATTTCTTTGTTAAACTGATGAACTCATATAAGCTTACAGTGTTCAGCGGGCATAACTGACCACTGCAAGACAGAGATTCCTAGGGTTGTGTCTGGGACTGGAGATACTGGCTAGTGTCATTCGGTTGCACAATCCAAGCAGCTTACGTGCCAGATGCTGTGCATGAACAGCCCAGGAGTGGGGGTTCTCACAGCAGAGCAGGGTAAGTCTGGCTCCCAGAAGTCAAGGATTGGAGTGACCTAGCAGATCACCGGTCCAGATAACACCAGGCGAACGTCACACTAAGGTACTGACTGAAATGTTGAAAGAGCTTTAGCCCACAACCTGTGTTTTAGATCCATGTGCTTCCTGGCTGGTGAAGACCAGTGGATAACCACAGGATCTGTTGCTTGCGGAGATTGTCGATGCCTCTCAGAGAGAGGGGGCAGGGTGTTGATTGCTTTGAAAGAAACATAAGTGCGACCTTTGCTCAGGAACTCATAATTTGATGTTGACTATCTTGCCAATTATCTATCAGTATCATATCACCTCTTTTTGGGTAGATTGTGAAGAAGGTTGTGGAAAAACAACTCTCACCGTATCTAGATGCCCTTGATCTCTTTGACTCTTGTCAATCTGGTGTGGACCTGGCTTTGGCACAGATACTGTGCTGGTAGCTGATCCCTTCCTAGCAGTGGATGAAGATCAGGTGTCCACACGAATATTATTAAATGCATCAGCTGCCTGACTGATCACAAGGGTTGACAACTCACCTAGGGACCCCAACAGCAGTGGAAGGGGTTGCTCTTCAGTGTCTTTGTTATTTTCTCTCAGAGTTTGCAATGGATAGTTGTGGGCAACCATTCCTCTTCTCAGAGAGTCCTCAAGCATGGGGTGTCACATGGTGCCATTCCATCATCCTCCCTATTCAAAATGTATATGGGGGTGTTAAAGAAGTCAGCAAGGAGGTATGGGGTGCAATGTTTTCAATATGCTGAAAACACCCAGCTCTATGACTCCACCTCGTCAGACCCAGATGATGCAACTCAGTGCCTCAACTAGTGTTTAAATGAGACTGGGGTATATATGAGAGTAAGCTGGATGAAGCTCAACCCAGACAAGTGAGGATGGTTGGTTAGGGGAATCAGAGGGGATGGTGGAGGGAGTAGTAATCCTGTTAGCTGCTAGGAATAACTTGTATTAGTTACCAGAAGAGCTGGTCAGAAAATAGCTCCCCCCCCACCCACACACACACAAACACCTCTTGGGAAAAATTTCAACATTTTGGCAAAATACTAAAAAACTAAGTATTTCAGCTGAAACTAAAACATTTCTATTGAAAAAATGGCATTGCAGGTCCTTATAGGAATTGTAGTTTGGGTGACTTATGCTCCTGTTCTCATCTAGGCGGCTGGCCTCTGTGATTGGACTACATTTTCCATGATGCACCACTTGCTCCCTCTTGGTGAAGGGGGAGGGTACAAAATAGTTGATCAAAGTGCATCATGGCTGGTGATGGCCCTGCCAATAGAAAAGAGAGAAACATAAAGCACCCAAATTAGCACTCCCATAAACCGTGGCGGTGCCACTTTAAATCAGAACGTTTCTGTTTTCATGTGTTCAGTTTTTTTGATGAAATATTGACGTTTTCCACAGAAAACAACCACTTTTGTGAAACAATTTTTATTTAGTCAAAACCCCAATTTTCCAGTGAAAGTCACTGTTGATAGAACATCTTTGACCAGCCCTAGCTAGTCAGATTCACAACTTGGGGGTGATTTTAGACCCTTCCAACTTCTGTGTTATGATTATATTACAGTCATAATTCAGTCAGATTGTTATCATCTGCGTCTGGCTAGGCAGTTACAACTTTTCCCAATGATTGTGGGCCATACCACTGTTCCCCATGCTTTTATTACCTCAAGATTAGACTGGTGCCAAGCACTCTGTGGGGCTACCATTAAAACCATTCAGATTCTGAAGATGGTGCAGAATGTAGTGCTTTTTTATTAAGGCAGGCACTTCACTGAGAACACGTCACCATGTCTCTGGGATCTGCACTGGCTGCCTGTTGGTTGCTGGGTGGAGTTTAAGGTGTTGGTTATGATCTCTAAAGACCTAAATGGCCTGGAACTGGACTAGCTGAAGGATCACCTCTTGCGCCAGGAATCATACTGCCATATCCGTTGTCTCACAGGGAATAGGTGCTGACACCAGGGGTGGTCTGGGGCTGAAGCACCCATGGGGAAAAAAATAGTGGGTGCTCAGCACCCACCAGCCACAGATGTTCGGCGGCACTGCACCAGCAACACAGATCAGCTGTTTGGTGCTTGGGGGAGGACCTTGGGGGAGCGCAGAGAGCAGCAAGTGGGGGGCAGCAGGGAAGCGGGAAAAGGCGGAGTGAGGTGAGGTTTCCAGAGAGGGGGCGGAGCCTCGGGGCAGTGGAGCACCCCGGGGGAAAAATAAAAAAGTCAGCTTCTGTGTTGCAGGGGCACTCAAACTGAATTCCCTTCACTAAAAAATGGAGGGGCCAGATAGAAGGACGTTCTCCGTGAGGGTGCTAGGACTCTGGAACTTGCTTCATCTCTCCGTCCAAAATAGATTGAAATTTGGTAACCTTCCAAGCACGCTACAAAAGATATTTGTTTCACCAGACTTGAAGAGGGCTGAAGGTAAACTTCCTAGAATGATGAAGGGGCAGAAAAGAGGGTTTTTTGGGGGGGCTAGTTGACTGGCTGGATTCCTGTACAGCTAATTATTTTAGTGCTTCTGAGATTTAATTGTATGCAATGGTATGTTATGGTGCCTCGAGCCCTGGTTAGGTGTCTTTTAGTTATTTAAACTGAAATCAAGAGTAACCAAACTGCTTTTTCAAGATTCCTAATGTGCAACAAGGATTACCAACATCAGCCAAACTGACTGACTTTTTCTGTGAAGAACAATTTCTGTGAAGAAAGAAAAACACTCAGAGATTATTAGCTTTTTTCAGCAAGATTCAAGGAAAGCACTGGAACACAGAGTTAATTGCAAGTTATTTCCTGTGTCCTGTTATCACTTCTGTTCTTAGGGAGGGAGGCTGCAATTTAAAAACAGAACTTCTTTCAATTTCCCAAACAAATTAGAGGAAATGGTAGCATACAGTCACACACAGTAATGAACAATCTATCAATAACAGACTAACACGGCTTCTACTCTGAAACCTGGTTTATTAATATAGCCTTTTAGCCATAGGTCATAGCTCACAATACAAAATAAATGCAAGTTTTAAAATAAACACAGCTCAGTCAGATGGATACAGATTTGAACAATCTGTCTTTATGCTTCAAATGGGCTAAATTCATCCCTGATGTAACTCTATGGAGAAGAACAGTTATACCAGGGTTGAACTTAGACCAAGGTTTTCCATCACATGGAATAAAACGGTAAAACTAGAATCTACCAGCAATGACACAACTAAATAAGGAATTTGCCAAACAGCAAATACCAGCTACATTCAGCTGGTGGATCATAATCCAACCATAATTCAGCCATAATCAACTGATGGATATTTGAAAGCGCACACATCCAACCATATTGAGGGTAATGGCTAAAGGAAGAATTGCACATTGTGTGAGTATTTCTCGACCACAGAGATAAGTGCCTTAGATATATGATGTCACATAGCCATGTAAGCATGCCAATAAAGTTTTGGACAGAATAAAATACTAGTGATTGTGTTTTAATGTCATGCCCTGTCTTTTCTGTGGCTGGTAATGTCACTAATGGTGTTAATCATGGGGATCGCAGGGGTTACATTTGTGACTGGCCTTTGCTCCTTGGCAAGAGGAATGGGGGAAGTGAGGGGTGAAGAAATTTCTAGTGCTGTCTCCTGATTATGTATTTGCACAGGAACTAGTCACACTGTGCCATTTGCTACAGAGAGGAAATTCACAGCGTTAGTGATGGTTACTACGGTTCACTCGGGAACAAAAGGTTCTGCTGATGTCAGCAGGCAGATGAGATGAGTGAAGCAAAATCCCTGTTCCTCCCAACAGATTGGAAGTGGGGTGCTTTTAGAGGCCACCCTGCAAGGAAGTCATCCCTAGAGCTCTTGCTCCAGGCAGCTGGGGGATGGTGCTGTGGTCCTAGTACTCCAATCTCTAAATCTTACTGCTACTCCCCGCTGTGTCCCAGTGCCTGGTAGGTCCTGTCTTTGGCCCACCCTGGGACTCCTGCTAGTAGTTTATGATCTCTCTACTTCAGTGGTTTTCAACCTGTGGGCCAGGGACCCTGTGAGGTCCACAGACTATGTCTATTGGGTCCGTGAAAGGTTGTCCTTACTGTAGAACAGTGGTTTTCAACCTAGAGGTCCGTGGAGGTCCGCAGACTATGTCTAAGAATTCCCAAGGAGTCTGCACCTCTATCCAAAATTTTTTAGGGATCTGCAAATGAAAAAAGGTTGCAAACCACTGTTCTACATAGTTTGGGTCCTTGTTTAATAGAGGACTTGAAAAGTGTAAAAAATTGATTTAACCTTGTTTGAAATATAAAATTGACCTTGGTGGTTTCCTATTCTTCTCAAAAACAAGTTTGGGTGGCTTTTTCCCGGTTGTATAGCTTTCTATATTAGAAAGGTCAGGCCTTGTGTCCTAGAATACACTATGGCAACTGAGGAATTGGCATAAATACAGAGAGGGAGAAATCTGATCATAAACATTTCCATTAAATCATTCAGTAGGTTTAAAATTCTTGTTTGTTGTTTTTTTCTTGAAAACATCCATTTAACCTGAAGAACTGAGAAACACTTCTCTGAAAAGACTTTTGTTCTAGACTGATTACTTCCCACTGAAATGATTCGGAGACCTCTGACAAGTCTTGCAGCAAACCAGGCTTTATATTCCTGATAGTTCCAACGTTAAAAAATAAAGCAAACAGCAGCTCAGCTTCCCCTACCCCGCATCCACTCTCTCTCTCTCTCTCTCTCCCCCCATGTCTTCTTTACATCAAAAAGAAGCAAATGCTTTTCCCTTTCCCTTTCAGGTCACCATTAAATAAAAGATCATTATACAAATATATACTTGCTAGATGTGGATACATATATTGGCTTACAACAGCTTCTCCCCATGCCCCCTACCTCTTCTATTTACAAATTCTGATGGACAGAAGGAATTATCACAACATGTACAAATTACAATTGTAAAGGATTTCAACCCCACAGATTTTCAGAAGCATGCAAACTGGTGTGTCATTAACTGAAATTAAAATAAAATCTATTGTTCTTTGAAAGATCACTATTAAAAAACCCACAGCCAGTTGTGTTATTTGTGGGTTGGGTGGTTTTGTTTTGTTTTGTTTTGAATAATCAAGTATAGATTTAAGGAGTTTAAGGCCAGAAGGGACACTACATCATTCTAGTCTGACTGCTTGTATGTCACAGGCTATTAAATTTCCTCCAGTTACTCCTGTATTGAACCCAATAACTTGTGTTTGGCTAAAACTTATTTTAGTAAAGCATCCGGTCTTGATTTAAAGACAAAGAATCCACCACTGCCCTTGGTAGTGTGTTCCAGTGGTTTAAAACCTGTGCTTTATTTGAATGTGTCTGGCTTCAGCATCCAGCCTTTGGTTCTTGTTATGGCTTTCTCCCTTAGGCTAAGCACCCCTGGTATTTTCTCTTTGTGAAGTAAATAATATGCAATCAAATGGACAACCTCTAACCAACCCCCGAGTTAAAAAAAATGGGACAGACCCGCAGCTGATATATGTGGGTGTAACACCCTTGACTTCAGTAGAGTAAATGTCAAAATAGATCAGGTGAGGAGCTGGCCTTTTGTTAATTAAGAAAAATATCTAGATTAGTATTACCACGCAGTTCTCATAATTGTATGTGCAAAATTGTTTTATACATTGTGTTACATTTACAACAATTGAAGAGCAAAGAGAGCAGTTGTAAAAGACTATCTAGGTTGCTGCTCTAAGAGTGCCAGGGAGGTTGCTCAAATGAATGCTTTGAAGGGTGCTAACAACTCACCAGACCTTACCCTGCAAGAACCAGATGCTTCCATTTGATCTCTGATACAAGCAAATTTACACAGATACTTTATATTGTCTACCTCTAAAAACCGTATGAGTTGCTCCGTTTCATATCTACATCCTGCTAATTAGACTGGTTTTCACCCAGGATGCTTAGACTACCTCCAACCTTAGGCTGTTTTTAAGAGTTGTCAAACACCTTTTTAACCTTATGTTTTTCGTACACATCAGTCACTGGCTTCTCCTCCCCTCTCCACCCAAGCCACAGATGCAAAAGGACATGTACAGACGATAATATTATTAGTGCTCCTGCGGAGATTTGCCCTTCTCTGAGGAGAATCTATGCCTGTTGTTTCAGCCTCCTTACCCTCAGTCAGATCAGATTACCGCTCCTTGATTTTCCTCCTCCTTGGGAAGAGCCGGGCTTTGGAACCAGAACTTCCAGGCGCCGTGCAACCGAGTCCACAGCGAGAGCCTCTGCCAGCCGAGAGTGCACACCGGCAAATGAACTGCTGCTCCGGGGTCTCACAGGGCTGTCCTCACAGAGTTGGATCAACAGCTCTCTCCCCCGCCCTCTTTCTGTGGGTTCCAGGCTGTGTATGTATATGAATCTCCCCACTGTATTTTCCACTGAATGCATCCGATGAAGTGAGCTGTAGCTCACAAAAGCTTATGCTCAAATAAATTGGTTAGTCTCTAAGGTGCCACAAGTACTCCTTTTCTTTTTGCGAATACAGACTAACACGGCTGCTACTCTGAAACTTTTCCAGCTGTGTGGGCTGCTGCTCTGTGGCAGGGAGAGGGAGATCTGTCTGCATTGCTCTGTCTGCCTCCACCCCTGCACAGAGCGAGTCTAATGAGATTCCCAAATGCCCCCACTAGCAGGACGGCTGAGAGCCCGTGCACCCATTAACCCCCGCCCCCAGCCCTCGCAGCAGGGATTTCCCTACACCCCCCCGAATTCTCTCGCCTCCACCCCAGTTTTGTGAACTAGTTACATGCAGTGTTTCCAATTTAGTGATTGTTTGGAAATTTGAATTGAAATGGAAACATTAATAAACACTTTAAAAGCATATAAAGTTTATGATAAAATAGGTTGTATCTGAAAAAGTATAATAGATTTGAAAAGTACGAACATAGACTAGCTTCCTTATACAGCTGTTGTTTTTTATGACAATGTCAGTGCAGTCATTTTGGAGATGTTTGCTAACCTAATAATTTCAAATTATGAATTGTAAGCAAAGTCTAAATGAGCTCTCCCTGACAGCTAGTGATGAGCTGGGGGCTGGGAGAAAGGCTTCAGGACCAGATTGTATTTACATTCACACCTAATCCACCTAGGTATCCAGCAAACAGAGCTCTGTTGCCCAAGTGATAGATTTTGGCTGGAGTTGGGTTACAAATCACTTGAATGCAGGGGGTGGGGGGTGTTAATGAAATGTTGTTATTCTTATTGTATGAGTAAAGGGCAGTAGAACTGTACTTAGCCTGTGCTGACTGAGGGCATCAAGAGGGGACAGGTGTTTTGCTTGATGGTCTGCCTCAATCACAAGTACTATTTGATCTGCCCCTTGACACTGTTTAAAGACAGAGCTGATTAGCCTCTGAATTAAAATTATTGGGAGCCCTAAGTACACCCATGATATGGGGTCAATGATAGTTCCACTATAGCCTTGCCCCATGCGCCTACCCAGAGCGTGAGGGTCCCCTTTCCTCCCACAGAGGTAGCGACAACAGCATGGGGCCCCCAGTTCCCACCTCAAGAAGCAGCAGCAGACAGCCCCTCTCCCCAGAGAGGATCGGGGTGGCCGCAGGGGAGCCCCAGTCTTTACCCCAGCATCTGGGGTGAATCTGCTTGGCTGGGCCAGGCCTGCTGTACACAGAGTCCATGACCGGCGTGGTGTTAGGAAGTGTCCCAGAGCAGCGTGTCTTGGAGTTAATATCCCATAGGGAGTCATGGGTCAGTTCACAGGTCTCGGAGTTCTCATTTCTGGTTTTCTCTAAACTCAGACTTATATCCTGGATTCTTCCCAGGCTAAACAGTAGTGATCCACGTGACAGTTTGAGGGATATGGCCGTGGCCAGTTATGAATTCCATTTGGTTTTATGAACATTATTTGTACTTGTAACCATCAGTGCGGATTAGAACCTATTATGTAGCAGGAACAGACTGTGTCTGGGAAGCTGAAACAGGGCCATCAAAAGCGCATTGTTTTATCCCCATTACTATTGACAGACCCATTGACTTTTAATGCCTCTTTTCCCACTAATCCCCCACATGGAGGTTGGAGCATGGAAAATCCTCAATGGAAGCAGAGAGACAGAAAAAGTGTCAGAGCCTGCTTTTACAAATAACAAGCTCTGTGAGCAACCAAGACAGCTAGTCCACCATCAGAAACAGAAGACACAGCAGGAGGAATGGAGGCAGGAGGGGCTCTGTTTCGCCCCCCTCCCCCCCCCCAAGACACTGACCAACACTCCCAGTGACTCTCAGGAATGACAAGAGGGCAGGGAAGGTATAAAATTATGTTCAGGCTTTATTGTTTTGCCTTGATCTGTAACTCTGTGCTGTTGACAACTATAGTTGCTTTGCAGAGCTTATGTTCCTTATTTTACCTGCCATGTGTCCCTGTCACCACTTCTTGGGCTGGTCTCTGGAGGGGCCTCAGCTGCTCCTGATTGACCCTCCTTACTTTGTTCTTTGTCAGCCCAGGTCCTGAACTCTCACCTCCAATTAAACCTGTTAGTCCTTCACTTTATGGGCTTGCAGTCTTATGGCTAGTTTCCTGGAGGTAGCCTGGTGCAGGGCAGTCACACCCTTTGCTGTCTCAGGCCTTTCTGCCTCCCTTTCCTTCTCTGTACTCTCCCCTTTCTAGCAGGCCTTGTTTCCTCTATTGGCTGCAGCTGTGGTGCCTGCCTCCATGACTGGCAGCTGTATGGGGCTGTGATCAAGCTGCTTGCTGGTAAACAGGAGAGACTCTCCTTTCCCTCTGTCGATGCTCAGTATATCATTTGTAAGCCCCATTACAGTCCCCAAAGAATTAAACTCTAAATCAGAGCATTCACGCGGGTGCAGTGTGGGAGAGTGCACAAAATGACTGAGGAGATTTGGGAGGGTCATCTCTGGTTTCAGGGTCTAAGGCCACATCCCAAGGAAGCAGGCCAGGTAGAGAGTTCTGCATCCAGGAGCAGGGCTTGGAGATGCAGAGGTAGAACCAGTGACTGGATGCTGCCCAGAGTCATCTGGCTTGATAGCATGTGGGCTCCAAAGGATGGTGACAACTAATGCAATCTAGTGGCCATGCACCAGTATACTCAGTCAGCGCTGTGAAAATACCTAATGGAGAAGCTATGCTGACTGTTCCTTGTTTCCTTTTGCTTGCACGTGTCCAAGATCTCCTTCTCTCTTAAAAAGAAAAACAAATGACGCTAGTTACTTTGAAAAACAGATGAAACAAGAAAGAGACAGCAGCATGTCACAACACGAACGGCCAGGGATGCGTGGATCAGAGAGTGAGAACCGCTGGGTCAGAATGTTCAGACCATGACACAACAGCAAAGGTTCTGCAGCCAAACGAGCTGTAAAGAGACTCGTGTGTGGCTGTTCCCAGCACAGAATTGATGTCTGCAGCTCCCTGAAGCTCTCTCCTTCTGTCAATCTCTCTTGCACTTCCCCTCCTCTGAAGGGAGAAATGCTGCTAATGAAAGAAGCTGAGAGAGAGGCACAGAGCAGTTAGGGAAGCACAGAGAGAGGAACTGAATGATCAAGTGTGTCCATTCACTCACACCGCAGTTATGAAAGAAATCTCAACTGTCAGCTTTCTTCCTTACCTTCCCTTAGTTAATGTTCTTATTTTAAATAAAACCTCAAAGGGGATCACAGACCCAAAGAACAATTCAAGTAATTTCAGTTTCCCAAAAGAGCACTTAGACCCAGCTGGGTCTGAATCACTCAGCAAAATGGATCCTGCATCTGGGCTACAGCATAGGAGGAAGGGGCATCTTCAATCTCCTATCAATGGAGCCTGGAAACTGAGTGGAGAGGAGAAGCCAGCAAAGTTTGGAGCAGACCTGCTTTTGGCTCCAAAATTAACTCAGCAAGGATCCTGGAGGAGATCTCTTTGGATTGAGCCTGAATAACCCAATATTGATCCCTTGGTGCCTATTTTCCCAGAGAACTACCCATTAACCAGGGAGGAGAGTAGATTTTGTTTTTTTTCTATGTTACCAGCCCTCTGTGTTCTATGACAATCTCACTGCATCTAGCAGGGGCGGCGCTACCAATTTTGCCGCCCCAAGCAGTCGCCACCGCTGTGCCCAGAAGAGCGGAGCTGCCACCGAATTGCCCCCGTGGGACACGGGCTGCCACCCCATTCCGAATACCGCCCCAAGCACCTGCTTGAAAAGCTGGTGCCTGGAGCCGGCTCTGGCATCTACCCTAGAGCTACAGTACGTGGCCTCTCCCCGTCATCCCTAATGAGGGAAAAAAAAACAAGTTCATGACAACACTATAAAATTGAGCAGTTTTCAATAATCAAGAAAATTTGCCTTATTTTTGCCATTCATTTTTGCATTTCACTCAGCTTGGACATGAGAATAGACTGCTCTGTTTCACATCTAATTATTTTGACTTTCTGGATCTCATCCCCTAACCAAAGGCTACAATGTTTGAGGATATGTTGGGGCTGCAAACACAGCAGGGGACTGTTCATGTATTAAAAAACATATCATTAGGTACATAAGAATTGGATCAGACCTGAGGGTCCGTGTAGTCCAGAATCCCTTCTCTGACAGTGACCAGTAGCAGATGTTGCAGAGGAAAGTGAAAGAAACCTCAAGAAGACCCATACAGACCAACCTGCCCATAGTGGAAGTTTCTTTGTAACTTCAGTTAGAGGTTGGCGTATGCTGGGAAGCAGGAGAGTTTATATCCATTTCACACTTTTACAAAGGTACCAAACTAAAATGATTAACGATTTTCTTATCATCCGTATAAACATCCTGCTCTTCTGTAACCCCACCGAGCCCTTGGCCTCAGTGACATTTTGTGACACTGCATTCCACAAGTTAATTGCGCCGTGTGTGAAAAGGGGATCCTTTTATCAATGTTCAAACTGCAGCTTTTCATTTTTATTGACTCTCTCTTTTTTTTGCATTAGGAGGGGACAAAAAAAAAAAGAGCACTGGATTGCCATACTATTCCTTATTCCCTACGCCACTGACCGTCTGTCGTATTTATCTCATCTCCAAGTGAAATAGTCCCATGCTTTTCACTCTCCAGATATGGAAGGTTTTCCCATTTTCCCATGAATCATTTTCTCTGTGTCCAATCCTCCTCTCTTTCTGCAGTAAATATTTTTTTTTAAAAAACCGTGAAAATATTTGTATTACTCTTCAACTGTGCAACAGCCTCCCCCCTTTTTTTTAAGTGAGTGAGTAATGGCACAGCTATTTTCTTATAATTACTCAGGCTGAACTTGCACAGAGCAAGGACACAAATGTTTGGGAAGGAGTTAACTATTGACCCCAGTTTTATTTGTATCTCAGAGGACACCTATTTCCTGCTGGAACTCTCTAATGCCATCTCATTAGCTAAACACAGCAGGAAATCTGATCTGTAAGTGCTGGGAAATTTAAAATTCATTTGCTTATTCTGATTAAAAAGCAAGAATGTAGACAATTATCAGCAGCTAACATGAAAAATCAATTCTGAACTGTGAGCCCTCTCTCTATCTCCACCTCATTACCCCTCCCTCTCTGCTTGCCTGACAGGACTCTCCATGTCCATTCTCTCCTCCCCACTCCCCTTGTTTATGTCCCTTATTCTCAGCTCTCTCTGGGGCTGAATCACCTAGTGATCCCC